TACATTTGTTATACTGGTCAGTGGTAAATTAAAAACCTGTTCGCATCACGCGCCGATTGTGCAGCAGTGTAGTAATCAATTTGCATTTGATAGGTTCTTTGGGACTTAAAGAGTTAATTAAAGTAAAACAAGAAACGCAATCCTCTCACTTGCCCACGCTTGGAAACCACAAAGACAAAACAGGTTCATACAAATTCACTTTCCTAGAAAACAAAACAGGTTTATTCAAATTCACTTTCCTAGCAAACAAATTAGGTTTATACAAATTCACTTTCCTAGAAAACAAAACAGGTTTATACAAATTCACTTTCTTAGCAAACAAAATAGGTTTATACAAATTCACTTTCCTAGAAAACAAAACAGGTTTATACAAATTCACTTTCCTAGCAAACAAAATAGGTTTATACAAATTCACTTTCCTAGAAAACAAAACAATTTTAGAGTGTCTATGTGAAAAGCCACTTTAGTGGCCATGGGTCTAGATGTGACAGATTCTGCTGCCACCTAAAAGCCAACAGCAATGTGTGTGGAAAGGGTTAACCCTCTGGAGACGATGCGGCCAAAATATTGGCACAACACAAAGTAGCCAAAAGGATGGCTGTGTCGATTGGTTGGTCCTATGTAATAAAAGCCATGAGTTTGGCTTTTAGGTTTTCGTACCAGCCAATCAGACTGTTTCTTGCATTTCTTGCACATATCAGATGTTCAGTGATAGCTTTCGAGAAAGTTTGATAGGTTCTTTAATTTTACATCAAAATTTTTGTGTGGCTTTACGTGCCCAACGATGGTGAAAAGGCCTGTTGTGTCATAGCAACCAAAGCATAGCAGAAGGCATGAAAATGAGTAGAACCAGGTGTCAAAAGTGTTGGAACGGTCTCCATGGGACTTTTTTTCCCCCAAAACACAAGTCTTAGGACTCATTCCGGCTTCATTCATAAAAAAATTCACTTAAATTTGTCAGGTTAGCCATGTTTGATCCCAAGTTTAAAAAAAGAATGCCTGCACAAATTATGCAAGTCATAATAGTTCATTTGAAAAAATGTTAAGTTTGCTTCATAAATATTCTGTTAGTTCATTCAATTTCCAACCTGAATATGTATAGTTTTATATATGCTGATTACGCACTTTATTTTTTTTTAATTTTGTGGGTGTAAACTAAGAGAATTCTTGCCCGAAGGCTTCATCTTTTTGGCACTGAAACTCCAACAAAGCTCCGTCTCCAAAGGATTAATGGTCAACACAAGATTACAGTTCTCTCAATGCTCAGTCTACGAAGGCGTAGCCACATCTGGAGAAAGGAGGATGGTTCAGTCCCTAAGGACATCCCGCGTATGGTGAATTACAGACAGCTAGAAGATGTCAAGGGTGACCTCTACTATAATATAAAGATGTGTGCTGGGAGACATGAAATGATAATAGTATAGATAGGGGCTGCGTTAGCGCAGTCAATAGGAGACTTGCTTTCAAATCCAGGTGCGACTCTCTGCAGTCCACACCTGTGTTCAAAACTGGGCGGTTCCATGGGTTCACCTAGCCTCTAGGAAATGGGTACCAGAGTTAACACTCTGGGGTAAATGGAGGAATGTCGCGAACGGCAACAATTTCTTATCAGCTGTCCGTACTGGTGGCAGAGCACTTAAGGTTTATAACCGTGTGCAATGATGCTGGTTCTCATCTCCCAACTTTACCTTTATGTGGATTCATGGGAACAAAATACCACGGACAGTGTTGCGTGATGGGGTAAATCAAAAAGAGAATGCAAATGAAGGATGGAATTATTGAGAACTCAGCGAATGACAGTCCCAAATTATCAAGGCTGAAAATATACCCTTACAGGGCCTCACATGTCAGACTTCCGGCAACTTAAATTGTGCACTTCCGGCGACTACCGTCACCGCCGAGAGTATCTCCTACGCGCGGTGTGGATTGGGGCTAAACTAGATGGCTGGGACTTGCGAGCAGCAGCTACCGTATCTCCTGCAGCTTCCTCCATTCTTCATTTTTTCTTAAGTCCCAGCCATCTAGTTTAGCCCCAATATACGCCGCACGTAGCGGTGTGGGAGATACTCTCGGCGGTGGCGGAAGTTCGCAATTTACATGTGTGAGGCCCTGTTAGGGTATATTTTCAGGCTCGATAATTTGGGACCGTTATTCGGAAGATAGCCATAAATAACTTAGTTGCGTATCTTTTACAGGATGTTGCAGAACCAACCCCAGCAGGCCCTGGCTGTTGATTGTGTGGTTTCTCTAGGCAAATTTACGTCCAGTAGTTTGCCATTGCTTACTACACGGTCGGCTCTCTGATACCACTGTCGAAACCAACGCAAAACGCAGAGCCCGCAGCTGGGATCGAACCTGGCACCCCGGCATTACGAAGCGTTCGCATCGACTTAGCCACAGTGCCGACTAGGCCATAAATTCTAAAACTAAAACGTATAATGATGGCAACAATAGTAAAACCCCATGCTATGAACTGTTTACCTTAACACGTTGGTGGAAATTTTAGTCACAATGTCAAGAAAAAGGTACCAAGAATGACTCCATGTCATTAGCAGGAATTAAGCTTTGAATTCCTTACAGAAACTGGAATGTAAATTGACAACAATTCATCGCAAGCGTCGTCTGCAATGTACACTGTATTTATCGGTTACTATTCACTTCACTTCTTGCTTACCCCTCCCCTCCCCTTATTTCTATTTTATGCAAACGACTTCCCTGCGGCTTTCTCCTTATACCATGTTTTTTTCTCTCCAGGAAATGAGCCTACATTTTTCATTCTTTCCATATCATATCTTTTTTTACGTTGTTTTTCTTTATCTTAATTGTTGATTATTATTTATTTTCAAAAAATAAAAGCAACATAATGAATATATATTTGTCCGTAATCTGCCAGTAGACAGAGGGTTTTTACATTTGTACATTCCAGCAGGCAACTGTTTTCATAACCTTTCCAAAACAAGTCAGACACGAGCAAACAGATTCACCACAAACACACTCTTTGTCCGCTGACACAACAGGTATTTATGATTCAATAAGTCATTGATCGTGGTCAGCAAATTGTAACATAATCTGTAACCTATTGTTTATGCGCATACACCGTGACAGATTTTTTGAGTAGCATCCAGAGCCCTTCAATCGTTTTGGTGTGGATGTCACTGGGCGACGTCAACGAAGTTGGTCTGGTGGACGACAACCTCGTGCAGATATATGCCATGCCTTAAGTTTGCGACGTTGCTGTAGCCTTGCCAAGCGTCAGTCACAATCGTCGCTCCAACGCGGTCGCTAATTTTGGTCTGCCAGCCATATCGACCTCACTTTGTTGTGTGATTCGTTCCTTCTCCATTCCGTAATTGCAATGCGGCCAAGGGACTGTAGCTACTTCAGTAAAATTTCCGAAACTGTAGTCCCTAGGGACTGAACTCCGGCGTACTCCCCCAATCTGTGGCCGTAGTTGCAAGGAGAACCCATGAACTGGCTCAGACCCTAACATCCCCACACTACAGCCTCAGACCCTAACATCCCCACACTACAGCCTCAGACCCTAACATCCCCACACTACAGCCTCAGCCTGCATCCCACGAGAGACTGCAGCCTACCTCCCATGTTGTCAGAACTGTAAGCAGTTTGCAGAAGGCCCTCCTGTTGGTCGTCATCGCTGACAACTAAAGTAAAGTAAATTCATGTCTACTTGAAGTCGGAGTAGGCTAGAATATACGCAGTGTTGCCAGCCACTCAGAACGAGTAAAACAGTGTACCTGGCTGCACACAGGACACCCAATATATACATAACAGAACACGACACAACTATCTCAGACTAGATTGTATGAAAGGTTAGCAAGCATTAATCATTGTCTGCCTGTCTCATAGTATTAGTGCCTGTCATTTTCATGTTTCAGATTTGTTGCTATATGGAGTTATCTGCAAACGAAAATGCACATATGATTGGGCCTATGGCAGCCAACACGATCTGGTGACATATTGGCAAACCTTCAAACGACAAACCTTGGGGGGGTGGGGGGGGGGGGGGAAGCTTTTATGTTTGATTCAAATGCTTTAAATTGGGACGCAGTCGTGTGTTTGTTTAATCATGTTTTCATAATATTGTTCTTTAATATTGAATTGAATATTGTGTCAGGTTAGGGTTAGTCGTGATCCTAACCCCAAACTCAAACAATATTAAATATTAAAGAACATTGTTATGCAGAGATAAACAAAACAATGTATCTTCCCTTTCCTGTGATTCTCAGTGTGTACAATTGTTTTTACAGCACATAAGATCACAATGTTGATACCTATGTCAGGCAGGGTGCATACTTGTAGTTTTAAGCCCCTTCACTCACTCATGTATAGTTGTAGGTTCAGAAGTCCAGCTGCCGCATCTAAAAGCTACTTCTCATTGGAAAAAGGCTGCAGAGATCCAGCTGAGAAGAAATTGACTTTTTTTTAGTTCAAGTTCAAGAAGCTGAAAGATTAAGAAATCCAACAGTTCTAGGCCTCCTCAAAATCAGTTGAGCACATGTTTCAATGTCTGAGTGGAAGCCTTCATACATCTGGGCAAACACTGTTGTCTTGGGCCAGATTTCTCTCCAGTGGTAGGTGGAAGAAGACAATGCCTCTCAAGCTGGCATGATTTTTTCCAGACAGTTATCTTCCCCCACCCCAGCAGTTTGCCTATAGTGTTCTGCATGGGGTTTGCCCAGACCCCTGAATTTGTGTGTGGGCTTCGGCACATTTATCATATAGCCCTGTAACAACCGTTTGTTGACACCAGCACTTGCTATGTATACTGTTGTTTGACAAGTCTGCTAGCTCCTCCAACTTCTCATCAGTACACCTAATGTCATCATGCCTTTTACCATCTGGACCTGGTGCACATTTACCTTGTGTGTGTGTGTGTGGCACAGCCTTGTGTGTGTGTGTGTGTGTGTGGCACAGCCTTGTGTGTTGAGTGTTTCATGTGTAATCCAATGTTAACTAATTTCTCTGTCACAGATATCACAATGGCAAAGAGTATCCGTAGCAAGCACCGCAGACAGATGAGAAACATTAAGCGACAACATTATGCTAAGAAAGATCTAGAACGTCTGAAGAGGTTGGCCATCAAGTCTTCTGAACTAAAGGATATTGTAACAAGTAAGCCTATCTTCCATCTTGGTTGTTAAATAGACTTCAGCAAACTTTAGTTTACTGATCAGAGGTATTGGTATTATTATTAAAACCCACAACACTTTAATTATATAGTGGGTGCAGTAAGCGGTCATTTATCATGCCCCAAGTCTAAGCTAGCTTTTTTACGGCAGAGGACATATATATACAGCTAGGACTGTATCTGTCCAGGTTGTCACAGATTGGTGAAGAAATCTTCATCCTAGGCTCATAGTATCCCAAAGTGATCACTGCTGACCTGGGTGGTATGTAAAACATTACTGTGCCACACACACACAAAAACAACCTTGTCAAGAAACTGATCTATCTTTCAATAATTATTTCGTTATCACATCTTGTTGCAGCACTTTTCTCACAGTACAGCCAACAAATTACCACTGCTACATTCTGATGTTTTATAGTTTTTGAAATTGTTGGAGTACAACTAAAAAACCAATATAAAAAATGATTTAGTCCCTTAAAAGATGGAACTAATAGAGAATGAAAAGCCACAGCAAAATTCTAAGCCTTTTTATTTATCCCTACTAATTGCTGACATCTTGAGGGCTAATAATGATTGAAGAATAAATATAGAATGGAATGGCGATAACAAAACAAAAACTATATACACAAATGTGAGAATAGACCACAAGGTGGTGGGAAAAAATATCCAGACAGACCTACAAACACTTGGAGTCACCAACTGAAAGAGGTCAGTCACAGAGACGGACAGAGGCGGGTGATATCTGCAGCAGTGGAGGCAAAAGCTTTACTATCACATTTTTGTTTTACTTGCAGTGAAATCTGCACAGGAAATTAAAGAACCAGCAGTTGATGCAGTTCAACAGGAAGGTAAACATTATGTGGATGTTTTTGTTTGTGACAGTTAGTTTTCCTGTTGAACCCAGGGCAGAGGTCAAAGCTATCCGTATCTTGTGGTGTGTTGCCACCTTTCTTGGCCTGTATATATGGAGGGCTTGAAAGTGGTTCGCTGCCACCTCTCTTAGTCTGTATATATGAGGGCTTGATGGTGGTTTGTTGCCACCTCTCTTGGTCTATATATGAGGGCTTGATGGCGGTTTGCTGTCACCTCTCTTGGTCTGTATATATGGAGGGCTTGGTGGTTTGTTGCCACCTCTCTTGGTCTGTATATATGAGGGCTTGATGGTGGTTTGTTGCCACCTCTCTTGGTCTGTATATATGAGGGCTTGATGGTGGTTTGTTGCCACCTCTCTTGGTCTATATATGAGGGCTTGATGGTGGTTTGTTGCCACCTCTCTTGGTCTGTATATATGAGGGCTTGATGGTGGTTTGTTGCCACTCTCTTTGTCTATATATGAGTTGATGGTGGTTTGTTGCCACCTCTCTTGGTCTATATATGAGAGCTTGATGGTGGTTTGTTGCCACCTCTCTTGGTCTGTATATATGAGGGCTTGATGGTGGTTTGTTGCCACCTCTCTTGGTCTATATATATATATATATGAAAGCTTGATGGTGTAAGTCTAGACTTGTCCATTCTGAGTGCGCTTTGTTTAAAAAAAACATTGGATACATTATCTTTGTTGGTCTCTTGTCTTTTTTTGTATTGGCATCACAGAAAGCTCAATGCCAGGACAACTGTTTGTAGACTGATATCAAACTACCAGATCTGTACAGGCTTTAAAGAGAATGTCATCAGTCAGTGGTAGAAGAGTCAGGTAATGAAGAGTAATGCTGCTTGGTCTCTGCACAGTGGAAAATCATCATCAAAATTTATGCAGAATCCCCAGATTAGTAGAGAGGTTTGGGGGCCATCCAGGCAGGGAAGTTATGGTTTGTTTGTGTTAGAAGCCAGGGTAATCTGGTGGTTTGAGTTGGGGAAGCTGTTGAGCTTCCTGTAATGGCAGGGGAGGTATTATTTTCTGCCAGTACCTTCTCTTGTTTGTTTTCCTTTTGTATGTCATGTTAGGATTGACGTCAGGAAAGAGCTCTGGTGTATGCTTCAGACATGATGGTATTCATGGCCTCCGAGATGTTTTCAAGTCATCTATTGTAAGGGTAGTGTCTTGCTGTGGTTCGGGTGACCAAGTGACTTGTCATCTTAGAGAACGTCTAAACCAGATATCTTCTCTGGTTACATCAGCAGAATGTTGGGCAAGATGCAAGCATCCTCTGTGTGCACCTTATGATTGTTGTATACGTTGGTGCTATATGCTTCATATATCATCCATAGCTCTGTGGTCCCTTTTGGGTTCTAGGGTGGAAGCAAGAATAGACTCACTGCCCCCATACAAGCTTACATAAAAGTTGATTCATTACAGATTTTTTAAAAATCAGATGTGTTGTGTCAAACTGCAGATATTGTGGCCTAGCTGTGAAGACAAGTGCCATCTTCCCTCGTAAAGGTGAACACAGATGTGTTGTGTCAAACTGCAGATATTGTGGCCTAGCTGTGAAGACAACGTGCCATCTTCCCTCGTAAAGGTGAACACAGATGTGTTGTGTCAAACTGCAGATATTGTGGCCTAGCTGTGAAGACAAAGTGCCATCTTCCCTCGTAAAGGTGAACACAGATGTGTTGTGTCAAAGTGCAGATATTGTGGCCTAGCTGTGAAAAGTGCCATCTTCCCTCGTAAAGGTGAACACAGATGTGTTGTGTCAAACTGCAGATATTGTGGCCTAGCTGTGAAGACAAGTGCCATCTTCCCTCGTAAAGGTGAACACAGAAGTGTTGTGTCAAAGTGCAGATATTGTGGCCTAGCTGTGGAGACAAGTGCCATCTTCCCTCGTAAAGGTGAACACAGATGTGTTGTGTCAAACTGCAGATATTGTGGCCTAGCTGTGAAGACAAGTGCCATCTTCCCTCGTAAAGGTGAACACAGAAGTGTTGTGTCAAAGTGCAGATATTGTGGCCTAGCTGTGGAGACAAGTGCCATCTTCCCTCGTAAAGGTGAACACAGAAGTGTTGTGTCAAAGTGCAGATATTGTGGCCTAGCTGTGAAGACAAGTGCCATCTTCCCTCGTAAAGGTGAACACAGAAGTGTTGTGTCAAAGTGCAGATATTGTGGCCTAGCTGTGGAGACAAGTGCCATCTTCCCTCGTAAAGGTGAACACAGAAGTGTTGTGTCAAAGTGCAGATATTGTGGCCTAGCTGTGAAGACAAGTGCCATCTTCCCTCGTAAAGGTGAACACAGATGTGTTGTGTCAAACTGCAGATATTGTGGCCTAGCTGTGAAGACAAGTGCCATCTTCCCTCGTAAAGGTGAACACAGAAGTGTTGTGTCAAAGTGCAGATATTGTGGCCTAGCTGTGGAGACAAGTGCCATCTTCCCTCGTAAAGGTGAACACAGAAGTGTTGTGTCAAAGTGCAGATATTGTGGCCTAGCTGTGAAGACAAGTGCCATCTTCCCTCGTAAAGGTGAACACAGAAGTGTTGTGTCAAAGTGCAGATATTGTGGCCTAGCTGTGGAGACAAGTGCCATCTTCCCTGGTAAAGGTGAACACAGAAGTGTTGTGTCAAAGTGCAGATATTGTGGCCTAGCTGTGAAGACAAGTGCCATCTTCCCTCGTAAAGGTGAACACAGATGTGTTGTGTCAAACTGCAGATATTGTGGCCTAGCTGTGAAGACAAAGTGCCATCTTCCCTCGTAAAGGTGAACACAGATGTGTTGTGTCAAACTGCAGATATTGTGGCCTAGCTGTGAAGACAAAGTGCCATCTTCCCTCGTAAAGGTGAACACAGATGTGTTGTGTCAAAGTGCAGATATTGTGGCCTAGCTGTGAAGACAAGTGCCATCTTCCCTCGTAAAGGTGAACACAGATGTGTTGTGTCAAACTGCAGATATTGTGGCCTAGCTGTGAAGACAAGTGCCATCTTCCCTGGTAAAGGTGAACACAGAAGTGTTGTGTCAAAGTGCAGATATTGTGGCCTAGCTGTGAAGACAAGTGCCATCTTCCCTCGTAAAGGTGAACACAGATGTGTTGTGTCAAAGTGCAGATATTGTGGCCTAGCTGTGGAGACAAGTGCCATCTTCCCTCGTAAAGGTGAACACAGAAGTGTTGTGTCAAAGTGCAGATATTTTGGCCTAGCTGTGAAGACAAGTGCCATCTTCCCTCGTAAAGGTGAACACAGAAGTGTTGTGTCAAAGTGCAGATATTGTGGCCTAGCTGTGGAGACAAGTGCCATCTTCCCTGGTAAAGGTGAACACAGATGTGTTGTGTCAAACTGCAGATATTGTGGCCTAGCTGTGAAGACAAAGTGCCATCTTCCCTCGTAAAGGTGAACACAGATGTGTTGTGTCAAACTGCAGATATTGTGGCCTAGCTGTGAAGACAAAGTGCCATCTTCCCTCGTAAAGGTGAACACAGATGTGTTGTGTCAAAGTGCAGATATTGTGGCCTAGCTGTGAAGACAAGTGCCATCTTCCCTCGTAAAGGTGAACACAGATGTGTTGTGTCAAACTGCAGATATTGTGGCCTAGCTGTGAAGACAAGTGCCATCTTCCCTGGTAAAGGTGAACACAGAAGTGTTGTGTCAAAGTGCAGATATTGTGGCCTAGCTGTGAAGACAAGTGCCATCTTCCCTCGTAAAGGTGAACACAGATGTGTTGTGTCAAAGTGCAGATATTGTGGCCTAGCTGTGGAGACAAGTGCCATCTTCCCTCGTAAAGGTGAACACAGAAGTGTTGTGTCAAACTGCAGATATTGTGGCCTAGCTGTGGAGACAAGGTGCCATCTTCCCTGGTAAAGGTGAACACAGAAGTGTTGTGTCAAAGTGCAGATATTGTGGCCTAGCTGTGAAGACAAGGTGCCATCTTCCCTCGTAAAGGTGAACACAGATGTGTTGTGTCAAAGTGCAGATATTGTGGCCTAGCTGTGGAGACAAGTGCCATCTTCCCTCGTAAAGGTGAACACAGAAGTGTTGTGTCAAACTGCAGATATTGTGGCCTAGCTGTGGAGACAAGGTGCCATCTTCCCTGGTAAAGGTGAACACAGAAGTGTTGTGTCAAAGTGCAGATATTGTGGCCTAGCTGTGAAGACAAGGTGCCATCTTCCCTCGTAAAGGTGAACACAGATGTGTTGTGTCAAAGTGCAGATATTGTGGCCTAGCTGTGGAGACAAAGTGCCATCTTCCCTGGTAAAGGTGAACACAGAAGAAGATGCATAGTGGTTAGTGTACTTGCAGCCAGGGATACTGCGGTCAAGGTTCGATCCCCAACAGAAGCTATGGAAAACTGCAGTTGGTGCAAGGTCATACATGCTTTAATACTGGAGAGAGACATCACAGAACATATAATCCAGGGGAGCCTACAAACTCTGTATCTGTCTGTACTCTGTTGATGCTTTAGTTGATTTTTTCATTTTATTTGAGTTTTTCCCCTCCAGGATTGTACTAAGGGATGAGAATCAAACAGGTACAAATCTGGGAAACTGTTCAGCCATATATTTTGGTGTTCCATAAAACGGTTGTTAAGTTAGTTCAGTGTGGGTTTGAGTTGATTGTTTCAGAAGATCATGCTTTACATGTTTTAGAAAGAAAATTAGTGTCCTGCTCCCCGTGAATTTGCTGGATCTGTGAAACTGACTTGTTTGTAACAATATTACAGATCCTACAATGGAAGTTGAAAAGTTGACCAAAGTTTATGACAAGAGAACTTTGCAAGATGAAAATGGTCATTACCCAGATTGGATGAACAAGCGAGCTGTTAAGAAGCAGAGACAGAAGTTGAAGCTGATAAAAATTAAGCAGAGAGTGGGGAAGGCAACAAAGAAATTAAGATGGTGATTTGGTTTCCAACATGCATCACTTTTTGTTTATTAAATTTGTGTTCTGAATGTTTTGTCAAAATAAAAGTTGTTAAAGTTGCTACTTTGTATGTTCTACCATTGTAGTTCTTTACATTCACCTTAAATATGGAGGCTGGCATGTTGCGGTTGACAACTAGGTTGCTATATCTATACCTTTCAGCCAACAGATCTGATTTTAACAAACTCCTAACTAGTCATCTTTTATGACATGCTTGTAAGGACAAGTGTCGGATGCCAGCCAGAACACAATGAGAGCCCTGTTTGAGAAACCACCTAACACCAGCCAGAACACAATGAGAGCCCTGTTTGAGAAACCACCTGACACCAGCCAGAACACAATGAGAGCCCTGGAACTCACATGAGGAACCACATGCTGTTCTTTGTGAATTATGCAGGTTATCCTCAGGACTCTTTCGGAAAGCTATAGCAGTGAGAAATGATCTTTACGTTTGCTTCATCGACTACAAAAGCATTTGATTGTGTGAAACATAAAGAAATAATCATAAACTATTGGAAAAGCTAAACACTGGAAAAGATTTACGAATTATAAAGAACATTTATTGGCAGCAAACAGCAGGTGTGAGAATTAATAATCATTTGGGAACATTTCAGAGCATAAAGAGAGAAGTACGACAAGGATGTGTACTATCACCTGATTTGTTTTCATGATACAGTAAATATATAATGAGATCTATCATGGATATGCCAGGAACTGTGGCTTGTGGTCATCACATAAACAACCTGCATTATGCTGAAGACCTCTTGACAGCCACAAGTCAGAAATAACTACAGGAATGATATGTGGTGGTAGAAAGTGATAAAACGGGCCTCGGTATGATTAATGAGAAGACAAGTAATGATGATTTTAGTGCCTAAAAGTATAATAAAAGTCAAATCATTATCAGAGAAAGGTAACGCTGTCATAAGAGGCACTTAACAGTTGGCATAGACCCGGTTTTCCCCAGCCTGTAGTAAACAAGCTCCATAGAGAGGAGAATGACAGGAAAGACGAAGAAGATTTATCAGGCCATCGAATGTTACTGGTTAAGTACTGTACACTTTCTCTTATATTATCAGAATATCTAGTTTTCTGACAGACCTCGTTTCTGTTCATGTCTTGTTTGAGTGTGGTGTAAGAAAGAAACGTATCTGCTGCCAAGTGTGTTACTAGCAAATGTTTGAAAAATCCTGAAGGTATGAATCTTTGCAGCACTCCAACCGTGTCCATAGATTGCCACTTCAGCGCACACATCATGATCATCATACAGTTAATAGTCTTTTACTGGTTGACAACTTCTTGTGTGCCTCTCTTGCTTATCTATGTGTTACTCTCAATTCTTGCATTCTTAGCCTTGATGTGGACAGCATGCTGCCACCACAATCCCTACTTGTCAGTGTGATCCATATGCTGGCTATCTAAAACTAAGGCAGAGCCGGCCAGCCTGTTTGCTCTTTCAGTACCAACAGCACCCGCACAGCGTCAGGGAAATGCTTGATTGTTTCAAAGAAAGTTTTTGTTGTTGCATGAATTATTTGAGAAGGAAAGGGCTTGTCATAAATTTAATTAAAGCCTAGAGCAGTGCTGTTCAAGTGGCCAGCCAGTCATCACCAACTGCATTAACTTTCTACACAGGGCCTCTGGCCCATGACCACTCTCACTGTTAGCATTGTGGTCCCCGAGTGAATAGCCCTGCCCTAGAAGATGTGGAAGCTCAATAGTGGTGTTAATGCAGACGTATTTGCCTTGAAGCACCTGAACTGCCACAGCCTTCCATAACATTGACACTCAGGGTTAGAAGAGTTCAGGTGCTCTTGGATCTGTAACGGTACTCATTCATATATCATGTAGCTCTCACCACAGCTTGCCAGACAGGGCTGCTTCGTTGCTAATTCTCCTACCTCCAAGTGCTCAGTCTCTCTAATATTCTAGCTCGCCTGTGCTGGTCAGCCCCTGCCTCTTCGTGCAGGAAACAAGCCATCTGGTGCTGAACTTTCTAAACGACCAGGACTGATAAGATACTGTGCAGTTTGTGGGCCTGTTTATCTGTCTTGATACTAGCTGCTGGAGGAGAGTAACCAGGGGAGCTGTTTCTAGCAGCAGCGAGTCCATCCAGATGAGAGCCTAGTCCTCTTTGTTGAGGGTGAACACATGACTGTCCTAGACAATTCAGCTCAACCTGCCGTTTGCCATCGTTAGTTACAACAAAAGCGCCTAACTGTTCGTCGGTGCACACGTTTTGACTAAAATATAACATTGAACAATAAAGATTGATTCAAGAACTGACATCACAGCACTCGGGGCATTCCCATAAGCGCTCCAACCCCATAGTCAGCAGCCAGCAAAGAGTTCCGATACTAATGGTGCCAGTAGCATTCTGATTAAACGTCCGTCTTGCCTTTCCTTTGAGCCTTGAGCATCTGCCGGAACCTCTCGTCACTCCTCCCTGCATCAATCTCACCAGACTGTGGTGATCTGTCTGCTCCTCCGAACATGGCCCTAACCACGTCTGCCTTATCATGTATCAGTAATCCACCAAGTTGTGAAAAGCCAGACAGTCTGTCCGACTGTTTATTTCCTAACACACCTGCGTACCCTTGTGCAGACAATACTCCTCACCCGTGTCCTCCGCAGCAAAGCATGCCTGTCTGATCTTCCTCAGCATACTTTCTGAGTCAGTTACAATCACGATGTGTGTGTGTGTTGTGTTCTCTAGGCAGCGGCAAGCTGCAGTGACCACCTCCACCTCCATTCTTAAGCTGGATGTTGTGGTATCATATGCTAGGCTCTCCTGCACCAAACATCGACCATTAACTTTTGCTAAGCAGCTGAACAATAAAGATAAGACCGCAAACACTGAGGCACAGGAAAGAACAGACATTACAGCAGTTGTCTCATTTCATTCTTCCGAGCTCCAATGCTTAGTCACATGTCTCAAAGGGCAATCTGAATGGTGAATGATAGATGGGCTGAAATGAGGTCGGCCTTTACTTCAATATAATTATGAGTACAAGCGGGACATAATTTATACGGGTGGCATAGATTGTGTTGTACAGACAAGGCAAACGGGAAGGGTGTAGTATAGGAACTAAGGGGAAAACTATTGCAGATTGAGAGGTGGCTCAGCAGCGTATTACTACATGCAAGGCAACAATGGTCCTCAAATCCTGCGCTTTCATTGTGGGAGACATTTCTGAACACACAAGGCTCTTGTTAGTCGAGCACACCATGGTTAGTGATGCTTCTGCACAACACAACACTGTCATCTGGACAGGTGCCAACATAATATCAAACCACTAAAGTGTAGACAAACCAGATATCTACATAAAATTTTATTTATTTCAACTGTAATAACACAAGTATTTATCAAGCCTGAATTGCTGACTCCAAATCTGCACTGTCATACTCAGATAGATGGCAGCACCAGGAGGGGCTGGTCATACTCAGATAGATGGCAGCACCAGGAGGGGCTGGCACCTACATAATGATGTGCACATTTTATCCCTACATTAACTGAAGATACAAGGTCAGGTTCAGAAATCCTTTCAGCTGTTATATCTTTCTTCCCTCCCATATGTGGGGAACAATCAATGCCTGCATACATTTTTTCAACACAGATAATGGTGGCACATTACTGCAAGAAGCATGGATCTTGAAATCGTTAAACAGTTTCTGTGGGGACCATATATCGCCAGCATTCAAGTAACATCGGTCAGCCCAAAAGCTTCACTGTTGGTTGACCATATATCGCCAGCATTCAAGTAACATCGGTCAGCCCAAAAGCTCCACTGTTGGTTGACCATATATCGCCAGCATTCAAGTAACATCGGTCAGCCCAAAAGCTTCACTGTTGGTTGACCATATATCGCCAGCATTCAAGTAACAACGGTCAGCCCAAAAGCTCCACTGTTGGTTGACCATATATCGCCAGCATTCAAGTAACATCGGTCAGCCCAAAAGCTTCACTGTTGGTTGACCATATATCGCCAGCATTCAAGTAACATCGGTCAGCCCAAAAGCTTCACTGTTGGTTGACCATATATCGCCAGCATTCAAGTAACATCGGTCAGCCCAAAAGCTTCACTGTTGGTTGACCATATATCGCCAGCATTCAAGTAACATCGGTCAGCCCAAAAGCTCCACTGTTGGTTGACCATATATCGCCAGCATTCAAGTAACATCGGTCAGCCCAAAAGCTTCACTGTTGGTTGACCATATATCGCCAGCATTCAAGTAACATCGGTCAGCCCAAAAGCTTCACTGTTGGTTGACCATATATCGCCAGCATTCAAGTAACATCGGTCAGCCCAAAAGCTTCACTGTTGGTTGGCCCATTAGATGCAGTTACAGTACATTGTGGCGACCAGGTTGCTGATTTCATCATCATCGTCCTCCTTGCAACATCAGCATTCTTCAACTGTGGGGACACAATAGAGAATGACTGCTACCAGATGAATGGTGCTCTCTCTCGAAGCAGACGGACACTCAACTGTTTCCATTCTGCTTGTCGAATCCATAGTTCTTGTGTTGAATCCAGGCATGCAAGAATAGCCCCTCCTTTCCAACTAGTTAAGCTTGAATCCACATCCTGCAAGAATAAAAATATCATACTGATGTTTAGAGCATGGATGTTTTTATTCATCAGTACATTAACAGTTAATGCCATGACCACCTATGCCAGATTTTAATTCAGAAAAAAAAAGTTTTGGACACTTTCAACCCACCACTGGGGCATAGCTATATTTGTGTCATTTGTTTAATTGTGGTTTTGGAGTCGTTATTTTCTTGTGACGTGGGATCACGTCTGGTTGAGACTTTTTCATGTTTCTGTTATAACTGCTGCATGGAGAGGGTTTTTTCTAATAGTCCTGAGAAGGACTTGGATTTTGCTTGGAGCGGGTATGGTTGGGAGTATGTTGAGCGGGTATGGTTGGGAGTGTGTTTGGTGCTGGGACACCATGCCTGGTTGGTCTGGCATT